TCGTGAATATAAACTACAATTTCTTTATCCATCCAACTGTTGGTGGACATCTGGGCTGTTTCCAATATGGGTTTATTATGAATAAATCTGCTATAAGCATCCCTGGTCATATCTCTTTGCCAACATATATTTTCACTTCTCTTGGGAAAATACCTAGTTTAATTGTTGGTCCACAGGGTGGATATACAATTAGTTTTATATGAAACTGCAAAACTTTTTCCAAAGTGATTATTTTACAATTCCACCCAAAACAGAAAGGAAAGTTCCAGTTGCTCCACATCTGTGCCAATACTTGATGTTATTTTTTAAAAGATTTTGATACATTACATTTGTACATGTTTATGGGGTCATGTAAAATTCAGTTACATGCATAGAATGTGTGATGATTAAATCAGGATATTTAGGATTGTCCAACTTTTCTCTATTTTGAAAAATACAAGACGTTATTCTTAACTATAGTCACCCTATTCTATCAAATGTTAGAGCTTATTCCTTCTAACTGTATGTTTTTACCTATATCCAAACTTTTCTTCATGTCCCTGCCCCTGACCCACACCCCCTTTCCCAGTGTCTGGTATCTGTATTCTACTCTCCCATTTGATCAACTTTTTTAGCTCCCACATATGAGTGAGAACATGTGCTATTTTTGTTTTTCCATGCCTGGTTTATTTCATTTAACATAATAAAATATGTTCCATTCATATTGCTGTGAATAACATTTCATTCTTTCTTATGGCCAAATAGCATTCCATTGTGTATATATGCCACATTTTCTTTACCTATTCCATCCATTGATGGACACTTTCGTTGAGTCCATATCCTTGCTATTGTGAATAGTGCTTCAGTAAACATGGGAGCATAGGTATCCTATCCCTTTGACATATTGATTTCTTTCCCTTTAGATAGATACACCGAGTCAATCCTTTTAATTCTAGCCATTCTGAGGGGTGTGCAGTGGTATTTCATTGTGGTTTTAATTTGCATTTTCCTAATAACTCTCAATGCTGAGTACTTTTCCAAATGCTTATTGAACATTCATATAACTTTGTGAGTTATCTTCAAAACCTTTGCTCATAGAAAACTTTTCTGCCCCTATTTAAATGCCAAGCTGCCATAATGAATTCAATTTAGGGTAGTTAATTATCAGTCAATTTTGAAAGAAGTTTATATATTCAATATCCAGTAGTCAAGGGAAAAAGTTATTTATGATATGCACTTAAAAAATAATTATATATGATTTCATAAGTACCTTTTTATCTGTATTGACTTAGTAAATTAAGCTGGTTTTCATTAAAAGTTAATTAATTTACTCTTCCAGAGAATAATGTTGGATATTAGCTAATACATATAATTCTATGAAATTTATTGCAAAAAAAATAGAAACCTAAAAATCACTTATTATAATGTCCTATTTAAGTATATTGGAGTGTTATTTTTCTGCTACTGCTGATATAAAACTATTTGACTTTAAGAAATAGTATTCAGCATACTTTGTCCTGATAAAATACTTTTAAGTCTGACTTGATCTGCTTTATTCACCAGCTAAAAGTATATATATAAAGAGATATCCAGTAAAAATATAATGTGAAAACCAATTTATAATAAACACATAGCTGGCTATGTTCCTGAGTGTGTACATTACAGTTTTATTTTAGAGAAGATAGTCTGGAAAAGAGTGTCAAGAAATCCAATGTGTCTATACTGATACTATGCAGAGATATCAGAACCAAGGGTAATGCACACAATACATATTCAGATAATAAGAAACCAAAACCCAGTTTATTCATCCTTACGGAACAAATAACAGTCTCTGAATTTGCATTTTTAAGTGATCTAGAGATTTTTTTTTTCATAAGTACATTTTTAACCTCACAAATAAGATAATGTTCGTGTAATTCAAAGAAATAACAGGCAAAACAAGGTACTCAACTTAAACTTTGGTCAGCAACCATTTACTCACAAACTTTTCCAGACAATAGAATGATAATTTCTAAATAATGCATTGCAGCATTGGGTTCATATATACAAAACAAAAAGCATTTTTATAATCCTCTGGACAGTCAGTTTTTCTCATGTTAAATCTATTGTCAACCTGCCTGGGGCATGCTGTTTGAACAAAATTACTCACTACAACTCTAAACAGCTCCCCGTTCTACATAATACCATTTCACAATTGGCATTTGCTATAATAAATCTACCTTGGAACAGTTATCCTGTCAGTCGGTATTGAGGGAAGGTCACGCTTGGCAGCCAAGAAGTCTACTTGCGTATAAGTTATGAAGTCTTTTATGAGACTTTTTAATCAATATACTAACATGCACTGAAATAGGCTTAAGCTAAAGAAAATAAAAGAGGATATCTTGGGGGAAGAAAGGTTGTTTTGTTTGTTGTTTTCATTGCAGTTGTTGGTAGAGGGTTGGGAAAACTTTCTTGATTTTTCCTAATACAGTGAAATTAGTAGAAACAACATAATGATGCAGTTATAGAATAGACAAATTTTATAGTCTAAAGCTGATGAACTGTTACAAGCAGCTTGCGACACTTTAATACCTTTTATTTTTTTTTTCCCAAGTGTATTTAACGATAACCCTTGGCCATTAGTTCAACTAGGTATCTGTGATAAAGTTTGTGGTTTAGGTCTCATTCCCATTATTACTATTCTGCACAAACTCTGCTCTTCCGATATTGCTAGCTGACTGTTCAAATCATAACTCAGAGCCTAGATGATTATTATTGTGTAGAGCAGGGTTAGCAAACTATAACTCCCAGGCCAAATCAGGCCCCCAATCACATGTTTTTGTAAATAAACTTTTAGTAGAATGTAGCCACACCCATCTGCTTACTTATTTATGACTTTTTTTGTGCTGCAAGAGCAGAGTTGAGTAGTTGCAAGAAGGCCCTTCTGGCTTATGTATTTTACAATATTTATTATCTAGCCCTTTGGCAGAAAAAATTGACCTCTGCTGTAGATTATACCCCTGTAATGCCTCAATTTGAAGATGTCCAAGAAACTATCTTCAGAAAGGATATCTTTGGAAAAATGAATATATTTTATCTATTTGGGGAGGAGGCTTGCTTCAAAGATTTCTAGGCTTCCCCAATATACTAATTTCTGATCTGCATCAGTCGTGACTGTGCCTTCCCCACGTACACAGTTTGAGTTGGGAACGTGCTCAGAATTAAGACTAAATTTCCCCACCTGCCTTGCAGCTAAGGTTTCACTAGGTGATTGCTATTCAATCACAGAATGTAAGCATATGTCCTGGATGCTAACTTCTACTTGCATGCCTTTCTCTTTTCTTCGTGGCTTTCTTCCTGGTTGAGACCATTGACATTATGGTGAGTGCAGCAACGTTCTTGAACCTTGCTAACAATCAACCGTCAGGAAATTGAAGTCTCCCCAAGCAGGGATTATCATACTGGCTCCTAGCTATTGATCTCACACTGTTTTTGTTTTGTTTTAAACATAGTTAGTTAAAACTATATAGATTTAAGCCATTGCTCATTTGGATTTTTATTTTATTCCATACTACTATTCTCAATACTTATATATATTTTTAAATGTTATCTAGAAAGGATTTCTTATTACATATAGTGGATGCTTATAGGGACTGCACTTTGACCCTACCTTTCTGAGCACTTCTTTCTTCATTCCCCTCCATCTAGGTACGTAAACCAAGAACATTTATGATTATAAGTTGAGATTACCTTTAAGATTGGGCAAAAGACCCCAACTAATCAAAGAGTCACTTGTCTGGGATTGTTTCTACTGGACAACTGGGAAGCCTGCAGTGACATTTTCTGACATCTGGATTTGGGGTGGAGGACAGAGCAAATTTAGACCAAAAGAGAATGAAACAAATTGTAAGAACAATTAGGAGAAGAAAACTCCTGGGGACTTGGAATTCCTGCTCCCAGTTCTTTCCTCCCATTTCTTTTTCATGGTACAAGACACACTCATATTTAGTGGGTAAAATTGTTCCAGAAGTGAAAAAAGATGCAATTTTCTGTATTGTTTTTGTATACCTAAAATAAAATTCTATTTCAAGCCCTCTTTCTGCCAGGTGGTAGAAACTTAATTCTAAACACTTTATGATTTCCCAGTTCCTTTTCTCTGGGATTACATCTTATTTCCTGGGGGTTTCTAAAGGATTGGAGATATCCATCCCTCAGTCAGCATTACCAATCCACGTTGATATGCACTGAAAAATTAATCCACACAAAACCATACTACTAAATTTAAGGGTTGGTGATACCAATTGCCCCATACATTCTTTGTAACAAATTGCATATCCATCATCACTGAGTTGAACCAAACCTATCTTACAGTTATACTTGTTTTTAAATCCAAAACTTTCTCTTGGGATAACAAGTATTACATGTTTTCTATATTTCAAGTGCTAAATTCTAATGGTCATGTGAATCAGCTGGGTAGCTTGCAAAATGCAGATTCAGATTCAGTAGTTACGGGATCCTGCATTTTTATTAAGCCCCCAGGTAATATGGTATGTAAACCACAATTGGAATAGCAATGTTCTATTATTAGCACAAAATTTCATTTCATTTGTTTTATACAGCATTGTATGCCTCCTTGCTTGGGCTTCTTAATTGAATATATCGGTTTCTCTAGATATGCCATTCAATATTTTTTACAAATTATATTTTTTGTGTTTTGTTGTTACATTGAAAGCTTCTATATTTTAAGTAATATATTTTTAATCTTGTTTACTGTGATTTATGATGCCTTTAGGAAGACAGAACACTCCCGTGAGAGTCGATATGAATATGTTCAAGTATAGACTCTACTGTGACTCAAAATATTTACTGAGTCAAATTTTTTTTGAGTTGGTTTTCCACTTATAAATTTGGTATAACATCTGCCCTACTTACTCCCACAGTGTTGTGAGGTTATTAAAGGAGGATAGTAGATATATGAGCATGTTTTTCAAAAAAGTGTCATCGAATTGCAAGTCATCATTCTTATTGGTTTTCTTTTACAGTTGGAAGCTGTCCATTCCCAGCCATTTTTGTTGCTCCTACTGGGACCCACAGTGTTGGGATTCTTGCTTATGAAAATACCCAACTAACAGCTTCTTTTGTAAGTTCAAATACAGTCACTGTCGATATCTTATTTAGATGGGCTCCAGTTTGTATACACAGTCCAATAAATTGTTTATCCTGAATCTTTCTTCTGGGAATTTTCTTTTGAACTATAGCCTAACATTTTTAAAGTGGGCAGGGAAAGCCTGCTACTGAAAGGTACTGCATTTTTTATGTATAGCTTAAAAACACACTGCACCTGCGAGTACAGAAACACATCTGTCCGTACAACCGCCAAAGATGGGTCACATGCTTTTTACATTCAGAAATAGCTTCACTTATGCAGGATTCAGTGACTCTAGTCCTGGGGTTTGCAAACCGTAGCCACAACTGCTCTTTTGAAATCTGCCTTTGGATGCTAAAGATCTATATTAAAGTAAAACCAATGTAGATTTGTATATTCTTATTTCCAAATCAGTTGTCTCTGTTCAAGTCTGACAAATCACACGTAAAGAGCCAGGCCATGCAGATAGAAGATGGTCAAAGCAGCACAAAACATGCAGACGTTCTCTCCCCTGCCTGCCACATCAGAGTAGCAGACCAAAAGCTCTTCTGATTGTTTGGTTCACTTTTAAAGGTACAGCTTTCTCAGCCCTGTTAGGGGATAGGGATGAGAAAATGCCCTCTGATCCAGTAACTACACTACTGCTACATTATTTGATCAAAAATGAAGAGAGAGGAAAGTCTCCAGGGTGGGTTCAGGAACACAGAGGATAGTCTTTTTCCAAGTGCTAAATGCCCTACAGCCCTAGTCAGCGATGCCTGGGGCAAAGCAAAACATCTGGCATTTTGCTGCTACTGTGGGGCTGGCAGGCACTTGGCAGGCATCCACTAGATCTTTCCCTCCGCATCAGGGAAAAATCACAAACACCAGGGTTCACAAATGATTCTTAGAGAGCATGCATGAGTTTCCTTAATTCCTTTTCTCTTTTAAATTTGTATTTGACTCTTGTATGATGGTTCTCAAAATAGGATCTATGCAGGTAGATTTAGATTTCACACTATTGTCATACAGGTTACCCTATCATTATTAATTTGCTCACTTCCTGGAAGACTATTCATTAATGGCCAATATTTCTAGATTTGTTGATGGAGATAATATAGATACTGAATATATGAAGACAAAGGAAACTGAAAAGATTTCTGCCTAGAGAAGCAGTATTCCTACACATACCTCCTGAGGTCTCCCCTCCCTCCAAGACATATTGTGTGTCAAGCAAGGCTGGCCACTTCCCTTCTCTGTGTTAGGCATGAAGTTATTCTGAGTGCTCCATTCAAGGCCCAGCCTGCTTCTGGTTTCTATGTGGTGTCACAAATTCTGCAGTCATAATGGCCCATTTAAGCCTCTTCTCATATTTTTGGAAGGTGCTTTCAATCCTATCTCTCCCTTAGGGCCCACAGGTAATCTGGGAACCCTTGCTTGTGCAAGAAGCCCCAGGGACCTCCAGGTAGAGGTCAGGTGTGGATCAAGGGATCCTCCTTTTCCCACTCTATCTGTGGCAGATATTGGTGATAGCTTAACCTACATTTTCTTACTAAAATTTAGTGTAGCCTTTGACCCATTCTCAATATACTGGTCTAGGCAGCCAAATAAATCATTCAGTACTATCTCAAGAGATGAAATCTATTAATATTTATTATCCTTGCTTGGAATTTGCTGTGCCCCTACTTCTTGCATGAACCCATTGATTTGTTACCATTACTAAGTATTCATGGTGCCCAGAGGTGCAAAGCCCCATAAGATCTTCTTAGTTTTTATTCATTATCAGCAGTAACACTGATTGATTTCACTGTAGGATCAACCCAATCTGTGTAAACTCCACCATGGACACACATTCCACACCCCACGTCCTTTTACACTCACACTTAAGAATCCCCATCCTTTATGAGTTACAAGGCACTAGCTGGTCAAACCAACAGCAGCAAATTATTTTAATTATTGTTCACATCACTGTGTAATATAGGTTGGTGGGATGTTGTGGATGGAAGGGGGTCTGTTTTTCAAAACTATTCAGGGATTCGAGCCCTTTAAACCAAAGGGCATTTTTTAGACACTCTAGGGCAGTTCACCTCCATGCAGTGACTCAAGGATCCAGGATGCTTTTTTCTCCTGGATCCACAGTGTGGTCTCCATGGTTACTCTCAAAAGGAAAGAACATAAAGCTACACACTAGCTTTAAATGCCCTGAACTGAGAAGCGGCAGACCTCATTCTGCCCACATTATTTTGGCTAGAAATCGTCCCGTGAAACCACCTACCTGCACAGAGGCTGAGAAGATAGTTTTCTATACGTTCAGAAGTAGAGAACCAGACTGGTGATTCCTAGTTATTTCTACCACATGTGATCTAGGCGTGCCCCTCAGGAAAAGGAAACAGAATGTGGCAACCACATAGCATTGTCTCAGCCACAAAACCTCCTTTTCTCTTCTCTGAAAGATGTTAAATATAAATTTAATAAGGACCAAGGGCTGATTGAAAAGTAATTATAATGCATTTTTGGAAGAAACATTATAAGTAATGTTTATAGGGGTTTTATTTTCCAGCATATCACGGATTCAGAGATTTCAGTTTGAAGATATATTTTATACTCCAGAAGAATTTCTTTGTTAAAAATAGAGAAATCTGATTTGAACAGTTATAAGCCAACAAAGGGACTTACTGGCTCACATAGTTGAGAGAACTGGTCATGGCCAGTTCCAGGTGCACATGACGTTGTCATGACTTTGTGCCTAACCCTCTTCCTGCCCTGTTTTCTACCTATGGGCTTCATCTTCACACACGCTATTCTCAAGCTGTGGCAAGACAGCAACCCGCACCTCCAGGCATTCCCTGGCAAGAGAGTGTCTCCTTCCTAGTGATAGAAACTAAAGCCAGGGAGACAGTGCTCACTGGATGCAGAGGGGTAGTTGTCTATTCATTTAGTCAATTCAGGGGGATAATAGGATTGCTAGGCTTGAAATTGGGTATTATGTCATCCCATCTAAACTGAAGTTTCCCAAAGGAATGCTTGATTGTTGTTACCAGAAAACACATGAACCTAAAGATAGGCAATCCTAGCTATTTGTGTTATACAGTAGAAAACTGTGTGGCTATCTACCCAAGTAGGACTTAATGGTGACTTTGCCCAAAAAAAAAAAAAAAAAAAAAAATTACTGTGGCTCAGAGTCTGATCATTACAATTTCCCATCTAAAATACCCATTCATTATTGCAAGAGACATAATGGCTTGGCCTAACCCAACTCATGGGGATTACATAAACCAGAATGGTTATTAATTGTCAGCAAGAAATATAACTTCCTAAGTGACCAGAGAATTTAAGCCACACTGACCAGCTCCTTGTGTAGAGCTACATAGGAAGATAAAAACCAGTAGGACACTAGTTGAGCATTCAATTAGACCCAAGATAATTTGTTGTATAGTAACATTTTGTGACATTTACCTATTGCTCAGTATTAGCATTCTGGTAGAAGTGATACACCTGTCTAGAAGGCTGTCATTCAAAATAGGCTCATCTGCACACTTTCCACCATACCTCACGTTCTGGGCGACTACTGCTAAATTTAGCTGTTCTGACTTTCTGATCCAGTTCCTGTATTTTCACAAGGACCATTTCCTTCTATTGACACTGTATTTAATTGAGTAATCTTCATTTGCTTTTTGATTAGGTAACAGTCCATTAATAATTAGGATATTTTGATTTCATTAGGCAAAGTGTCAGAAAACTCAGCCTACGTGTTAGTTGTAACAAGTGTTTAAATAACCACTTATTAGAACTTCCTATATAATTTCCAAGCTGAGGATAATTTTTGGAATGGGTTCTTTAAAGCCAGTATGGTAAACAGAAAATACTTCCTGGTTTTCTATGTGACAGAGCCTTATCTTTCTTTCTGGAATTTTGTTTTTTCTTTCCTTGGAATTTTGTTTTTTCTTTTCTTGGAATTTTGCACATCACGTTGCCAAAATGTGTCATGTGAGAATTTTCTCTGTTTATGTCAAAACAAGTACAAATTGAGTTTACAAAATATGATCATTTGTGACCTTATTTTATATAGCTTCAAACTTACATGAAGTTACAAGACATTTTCCCTTGCCCTCTACTCAGTCACCAGTTACTTAAATTTTGCCCCACTGTCTCTATCAATCTGTTATAAGTTAAAGACATTGTAATCAATAATCTATTTTTTAATTGCCCCAATAAATACAGTTTTAAGCTATTTTCTTCCTGGGTCCAGTGTCATGCATTATGTTTAGTTGTCTGTTCTTTGACTTTTTTGTTGAACAATTGCATTGTCTTTGTCATTTCTGACCTTGGTATTTTTGAAGGGCACAAACTAGTAATTTTGCCGAGTGTCTCTCCAATTTGTGCTTTTCTTATTTTTCTGCATAAGTAGATTAGGGTTATACATTTTTGTGCATTTTCTTATGCCTTTTCTATTGCATTATGTTAGGATGTGCATGTTAGTTTGTACCAATTTTTTTAATGTCAGCATATTATGGGGGTACAAATGTTTAGGTTACGCATATTGCCCTTGCCCCACCCAAGTCAGAGCTTCAATCATGTCCATTTCCCAGATGGTACACATCATACTCATTATGTGTGTATATAACCATCCCCTCCCCCTCCCCTCTCCCATCTGCCCAACGCCCGATAAATGTTATTCCTATATGTGCACTTAGGTATTGATAAGTTAAAACCAATTTAATGGTAAGTATATATGGTGTTTATTTTTCCATTCTTGGAGTACTTCACTTAGTTTGCTATCAAAATTGGTACAAATTGTATTATCCTGGATAGAGAGTGTACCAATTTTGGTACCTTAACCAATATTAAGATGATCGATGTTGCTATCAAAAAGTTTCTATAAAGTTGTTGTTTATAATAAGTAATTTGAAGAGAGTTTTTTTTTTAAGACAATGTATACATTCTGTCTCTGTCACAAGAACACCACAATCTCAGTCCATTGGACAAAGGAGTGAACAGAAACAAAGGAATTGTCCTAACAAATGTTGTGTTTAGGG